CATGTGGTCTGCTAGTGACTGTGTGCATTCAGTCCCTGTTAGCTGGATTAAATGGATGAAATCCTGTACATCCAGACTCTCTAATTAGATTTATGTAGGTGAGCAGCTACAGTGCGCTCACTGGGCCATGATGACTGACTGAAAACGAACAAATGGGGTGTGCGAGATGACTCATCAGTTTTGAAGTAGAGAGTCTGAAGCTCCTGTGTTGTGCGGGGAGATGTTCATCACTCCACATGCTCAAAGCCATTACCTTTCCACCCACACCATTTCGCCCACTCACATACACAGACGATCACAACATTATAGCTGGTTGCACTTTGTCTCTCCCCGTCACATTATCTTTAAGTCCCTTACATTTACCACAAAAAAAAAAAAAAAAAAAAAAAAAAAAAACCGGTTGTGCAGTACGTTTTTAAAATGTTCAGAATGCAACAGCAACACTGGGGCTTTTCCCTGTTTGCGTTGCTCTGCTTGTCTGTGTTTGAGGATTTCAGTCTGCTCATTTCATTTGTGGTGGGGATTATTACAACATAAATATCTGCTGAAACGGTCTTTTGGACCTTGAAACGTTTGGTTACCAGTAAAGTGCATTATATGGAGAAAAATCCTGCAGTGTTTTCATCAAAAACCTAAATTTCTTTTCGACTGAAGAAAAAAAGACATGGACATATTGGATGACATGGGGGTGAGTAAATTATCAGCAAAAGTTTTTTTTTAAAAGTGAACTACTCCTTTAAGACAATTTAAGGTAAAATGGGCCAATAGGTGATTAGCAAGACAGTAATAACATTGATTGAACACTGGTAGAAAATATATACATCAATAATAAGTCATACTAATACTTACAGGTTATGATTCTGAGGAAAAATTTGGTAACTTACTGACTCATCTTCTTTCTAGAGAGCATTTTGCAAATGCTGCGTTGAACTTGAGCAGTTGTCAGTAAAATGAAGGGAACAGCAGCACAGGTTATTAGACTGCTGTCATATCGTGGTAAAGATGATTTTTAACAACTGATTCTTCATAGTCTCCTCCTTTGGAAGTGAAAATAAACCAAATTTATTTTTAATGCGGAAAGTAGGCTAGCCTACTGCGTCTTGACGACATACCCACACGAACAAACTACAGCAAGATTATGGCGGGAATTATGTAAATGTGGTAGCCTAAATCGTGACGTGTTACAACGGTTAAAAAATGGATTCGAAATCCAAACAACCCTTTTGAGCGGCTCAGAGTCGACTCTTTTTTTTCCCTTTCTCTTTTGAGAAAAACTTTTGAGTTTTCTTTTCTCTAACTTATGATGCACTTTCAGCTTTGCAGAATGTTTATTCCGTTACATTACACATTGCAAGAAAGGTAATTTTCAAAAATCCATGATTGGGGGCCAACGTTTAAATTCATGGATGTGCAAACACATGAGGTGTGTCTCCGCATGGAAGATACAAGAATGGCAGATAAACTTCTTAATTTCTCTTCGATATGGTAGGAAATTAAATTAAATTAAATGTGGAGGATTTTAACTGTGACTAGATGACTAAGTGGCAGAACTGTCCATTAAAGATGCAATTATGACAAACTATTAGGCCTATATTCCAAAGCTTGCCTCCTCCTATTACTCAAAACACACTCTTCAAAAACAGTACATACTTTTAGGGCATAGTACGAGTAGAAAAATTGGGATGTATTGCCTTTATAAATAAGCCATTTTCATTCAATCTACCGATTTGTTCAAAAACACAGATTCATTTATAAACAAAACCCGACTCTTTGAGTCATACTCTCAACCAATTATTTCAAAAACAGATTAATTCCGGACTGAAACCAATGATTATCTAAATGATTAAGTGATTGAACTGATATGTGTGAACTGAATAACACTGCTTAATTTGGAAACAAAATGTGAATTTTGATTGAGTTAACGAAACAAATCAGTGCCTTTATGAGCAAGTAATTTTGATTATTCAGTCAATTGATTCATTTGAAAAGCCACTACTACTGCTTGGGGGGCATGCGGCGGTTATTTAACTTTGACCTTGTTTTGAACTTTTGTGGCAAAGAAAAAATAATTATTGCCAATATTGTTTCTAAATTGTAAGTTACTCAAGATTAATTTATTGTTTTATAGAAGACAAGTTAACAGCACCCTGAATCGTAGCTCAGTGGTGCTCAAGCTGAAGGTAAAGCACGAGGTCACATACATTACAAATGTGAACCTGAACCCAGTCGCATGGGTCAATCTTTTGAAATTGAGATATATAGGCTACATCATTTGAAAGCTGAATAAATAAGCTTTCGATTGATGCATGGTTTGTTAGGACAGGACAATATTTTGCAGAGATACAACTATTTTAGATATAACTATTAAAAACTGCTCATGATGGTTTGTAAGACACAGGATCCCTCAAACCAATGACAGGGACTCACAGTTTCAACAGCAGTGTGTGTGAAAATGACACTGTTAAAATAAGGCAGACATCTCACATCTTACACGTGCTGATTTGAGTGAGGAAACACGTATCTTGTTAAAAAGATCTAAAGCATCTTATCAGCATACACAAACCATTTAACATTTTCCTTTAGGGACAAACTATTCAGAATCACATCATGCGTTAAGATCATTTTTAATGTTCTCTGTCCTCTAGATGCTAGAGGTAAAAAAGAAAAAGAAAGAAGAAGAATGAAACACCTCAGACTGTTGCACCAGCAGCAGTGAGATCTCTTTGTCTCCTCTGAAGGGTCTCGGAGGAGCTGTGCTCGCAAGCATGTGAAGAATCGCCCATAGCCACGTTTGAACAGGGCTGGCCAGGGAATCATTCTGATTAATGAAATAAGTTATCTGGAACACTGTGCAATTTATAGACTGATATACAGATATTATGACCCAAATTCTGGCCATTACTAAAAACTGCAACCACCTCTACCATTCCTAGCCTATTTCCAGGCAGTTACCATGGTTACAGAGATAGAATGAGAGGGGGAGAGGAAGAAAGAGAGAGAGATCTTGTACAAATTTCAGAGAAACTTTGTCACCAACAACAACAACAACAAAAATAGAGAATGATGCTGCATTTAAAATGAGTATTTCGAAGGAACGCCGCTGAGAGAGCATGGAAAACAAAAGCCTCGCTGTCTGCATAATGCATCACATTGCTATTAACAGCTCATATGATTTTATTGCATCAGCTTCTAACTTACAGTTTATTCACAAACTGTAAGCCAGAAATGTCAGTTTCTGTAATGCATAACCATTGCTGATGACCTCATCGAAACCCCTGGGTCCCTCCGGTCACCCTAAACCCTCCATAGTCTGTTTCTCATTTCTATCACCATCGAACAACAAAAAACAAAGGGAGAGGATGACAGCATCTCATCCGATGGCCCCTAAACAATACCCTCAGTCCGTTTCTCAACCTCCAGAACACTTAACACTGGCTAGAGAAGCCACAACACACAATACTTCACCAAAGGAGAGAGGGATGACATCATGTGGATTGAATGAGTTTGATTCAAGTGGCTCCAACCTCAAGCACATGGCGTGACAACAACTGAACTGCGCAGGTAACATGTAAGCATCATTTGCACAATACTTGTTATTCCAGGCTGTAATACACACCACCTCCCTAATTTCCTTTATCTGAATGTATTGGCTTTGACTTATTTTGCTAATGATATTATTATAGTTTAGGCTAAGGTACGTAATGATGGTTCTCTTATTGTTGGAAGAAATATTTGATGCATGTTTTTTGTGTTCATCAGAGTATTATTATTATTTTTTTTTTTTAAATCAGCATCACATCCACACTGATTCCTTTGTTTGAGAGAGGAAGCGTTTGTTTTGAACAGATGAAGAACCAGCTTAACCTCTATCGCCCTCTTCTGGTTTAAAGAAGCATTACATTCAAATTACATTAAAGGAGTAGTTCACTTTTAAAAATAACTTTTGCTGATAATTTACTCACACCCATGTCATCCAAGATGTCCATGTCTTTCTTTCTTTCTTTCTTCGAAAAGAAATTAAGGTTTTGATGAAAACATTCCAGGATTTTTCTCCATGTAATGGACTCTAATGGGAACCAAACGGTTCAAGGTCCAAATGAGAGTTCCAAATGAGAATAAGGGTCTTATCTAGCAAAACGATCGGTCATTTAAAAAATAAATAAAAAGGTTTTATAAGAACAAATGCTCGCCTTGCTCTGTTCTGTGATGAGCGTTCGTGACTCTCCTGTTCAAACTTCAAATCTTTTTTCGAGTCATGACTCGAAGGGTCCTAGATAAGATCCTTAATCATTGTCTGGTGTAATTTTGAAGCCATTTGAAGCTGCACTGAAACTCTCTTTTGGAACCGTTTGGTTCCCATTGAAGTCCATTATTTGGAGAAAATCCTGGAATGTTTTCATCAAAAACCTTAATTTCTTTTCGAATAAAGAAAGAAAGACGTGGACATCTTGGATGACATGGGGGTGAGTAAATTATCAGTATTTTTTTTTTTTTTTTAAAGTGAACTACTGTTTTAAAAGGGATCATTCACCCAAAAATAAAAATTCTGTCATCATCTACTCACCCTTAAGTTGTTCCAAACCTGTTCCAGTTTCTTATGGAAGTCAATGGCTAGAAAGAGGACAAAGAAATTCATTCAAGTCTGGAACAACTGGAGTGAGTAAATTATAAAATTGACATTTTTAGCTGCACTAAAAGGAATATTTCGGGTTCAGCACAAGCTAAAACCATTCGGTGGCATAAAGTTGATTTGAAACATAAATATACATTAAAACCTGATTTTAATGTGAAAAAAAAATTACTAAGTACTACTTTTTTCTGTGTGAAATTATTTCATTTTACAACTCATTATGACAATGTAACTGTAAACGCTAACCTGGATCTAAAACTGATTTAAACAGATTAAAAAAATGGATTTTTAATGAAGAATGTTTGCAAACTTTCTGGTTTTACAAACAAAACTGCTTAACTGAAGAGCAGAGAAGGCACAGACAGAAGCATGATGTTTACCTGTTCCATTTATTTCAAGATGCGACCTTCACCTGTGTATTCCCGTTCCCAACAGCTTAAGAAATCAGACATCTTATTTACAGCACATAGTACAGAAACTCATCATTGAACTCGGAAGAAAAAAATAATAACACCACTTTCCTGTTAAACAAAGATTTGCAGAAACTTGCTTAAAGATCTTGAACATCCAAATGTGTCTTTACCCTGCTCAAGATTTCCTCGGTATATATGTAATCAGTGATAACCAGTCGGGATTGTGCAAAAACCTGGGAGGAGGGTGTGTTGGGGAAAACGAAGTAAACAAAGTGTGATATCTAAAAAGGAATTCATACTATGTAACAATACGGCTGATTTTTCTTTCAAAATCTTAAATGAAGTACAGGGATGAAAAACTAGTGGTAAGAACAAGAAACCTAACTAAAAAGAACCAGAGTGTGTTGACTGCCCGCATCTTGAGTTCATGATTTCTGCAGCATATTGACAAGATCATACAGACCCATCAGATTTCAGGTTGCATTCGCAAGCCCTTTAAAACTCTCATTCATGTTTCTAAACTCGTAATTGCATTAAATCACGGCATGTGTGAGCGGTCTCGTTGCCAAAAAGTCAAGTAAAACGCAAACAATTCAACTCTAAGGCATCATGTGAACTAAAAATACATAAATCAAGCTCAGAGAAAGAGCGTCTTTCCCACACTTACAACAAAAAACTATGAAGCGGATCTCTGAAAACCCTGGATAAATTACCATACAAAGTTAGATAAAGATACACAACAGAGCAAAGAAACAAGAATACTGTAGTCATGATTAAAATGTTTGTACTCACAATCACATACACTCAAGTCCATTTGTTTCGGTCTCTTTTAGAGCGATGATTTTGGAGCGCTATAATAAAGGAAGCGGATTACAAACAGCATTTTTCTTGTGAGGCCGCACATACACACAGATCGACCCGCGGTTGTCCATAAACACAAGGTCGACATGCAAGGCATATGTAAAATACATCCCCCGATTTCAAATCAATACATTATAACACTTTTTAGGGCAGACAATTAAAAAAAGAGGGAACACCTGTAGCACTTTTTTTTTTTTTTTTTGCCTAATAGGGGTTCAAATAAAAAATTACACAAAGTGAATGTAGCTAAATAAAAACCTACATTTAAAAATGATAAAATTAGCTTTTGTATACAACTTAAAGCCACTTTGCTTTCACATTCTTAAGGACCGACACCTAATCGAGAGGAATTAGGCAAACCCCACAGAGAACTCTGGGATGGTTAGAGGAAGAAGAAAGAAAAAAAAAAAGTGACATTCCAAGAGATCTCTGTTCCTTTTACATCCTCTCTTTAAAATCCCTGGGATAAGATGCCGGGTTCCCCAAACGCGTTTGCAGACACACTCTGTTTGCTGGCTAGTTTAGACTTGATTTCTGCATGTATCACGGCCAACGGTTGTGTTTTACACCCACCGGGCTTTAATCGTGTCCCTGCTATTGTATATCCTGCCGCAGACTCACGGGTACATGCAACGCAGCATGCTTGTGCAGTCGAGGAGCGCAGGGTCTCAGAACCGTTTGCATGGGGCGGAAATGGCCCATGGTCACTGTGGAGTATAGGTCATACAGTTACCATCTTCAGGTTTTATGGGCACATATGAGCATGGGTGGCCGGGGTGGGTTGGTTTTAGGCAGAATAAGGGGGTTTCTGGGCCAAACTATAGCTAACCCCAATGTTTGGATCGGGGTGGACGAGATAATGGGGACTCCTGATTATACGAGTCAGCCATAATGAAAGGGGTTCACGAGGTGCCCTGTCTCTTTTGCTGCTGCGCTCGGATCAGCTCCAGTTGCTTCTTGCACTGCTGGTAGTAGGTGGACAGACTCTTGTTCTCCTCTAAGAGCTTCTTGTGCTCCTGAGCGAGGCGACATGCGTTCTGCTGATCCTTCTCGTCTTGATCCAGTTCTGCTATCAGCTCTTTCCTGTAGAGATCAACAACAGACATCAAAGAATGAGGGAAAATTGAGAGAAAACAAAAAAAAAAGTAGCATTAGTTTGGAGTCTAGTTTATCTGGTATTGCTGGTTTAGGGTGTTTACACATTTGGATCATTTGTTTTGAAATCTGGTACGTTTTGACCCTTAGTTAAGGTTTGTGTAACTAATAGGTGGTTTGCAGTCACGTGATTGTGTTGACGCGCGGAATGCAGATGGAGGAGCGAAGAGCGCGATGGACGAGATGGAGGAAAATCCGTACTGTACTATTAGAAGAGAAATATATAAACAGAAAATCGAAACATATGTTGGAAGTGATCCTTACGTTATGAAGAGGAGCGATTTTCAACTGAATTGAGAGATTTGCCTGCCATCGAGGCTGTAGAAATCAGCAACTAACTCGTCTTACAGACATACTTTAACTTTACAAAGTTCGGAAACTGGTATGTTACACGAACAGCCACATATGTGTATTTAATAGGGGAGTAACGATTCACTCGTTTTCTCGATGCATCGATTCTAAATCCTGGCGATGCATATGCATCGATCCTGAAACATGTATTTTGAATCGTGAATCGTTTATTTACGTGAATAATCGATTTAAAAGGCTAAGAATCGAATTAATCACGATTTTATAGCGATTCAGTGGTTTAAAATATATAAACACAACCTTAAAGTGTTCCTGGTACAAGCCTCCTCACGCATTGGCCGTCATACGACATCCGCATTTGATTGGTTTCAGGCGCTCACACACCCCTGATTTCTCACGCTGAAGCCCGGTCGGTCAAATGCCTGAAAGATGAGTTTATCTTTCTACCTGTTGAGCTACTCATGTCGTGATCAGCTTGTATTACCGCAAATTAGTTAAAATCTCCCGGAATCTAGAGCGAGCGTGCATACGAGACAGAGGTTGTGCTCCAAACCGCGTATCGCGCGTTCACACACGGCTGCACGCACTCGGCAGAGAGGGAAAGCGAGCGAGAGACCACCTAGCGTGTACGGAGAGTCCATGTAATAAATGAATGAAAGCGTTTTATTTCATAGTGCCCACGCAATGGCATGGCAGCTTTATCAATGGCTTGAGCGGTTTGCCTCAAAACTATTGCTTTCTCGACAGAGAGCTCAGCTGGAGAGCTCAAACATGGACTGCTCAAAAATCTGTAGTTAACGTTATGAAAGCATGAGAGCTATATGGGACCAAGCGCGAGCAAAATCCAGTGAAAAGATGATAACGAGTGCACTGAGAGGACGCAAAATGAAACTAATGAAAATTTCTCCATTAATTTGTGCATGTAGTCATTTAATGCAATACTTTAAAAGCCTTTTTCAAAATATTTGCTACTTGCAAATGCTAATTTGTAGGCCATTGATTTTTTTTATAATAATATATTCATTAAAATTAAAAACAAACATGAACTAACATTAACAATGGACAAAATCCCCACTATCTGATCCCCGAAGGCCTCTGTGTAGGCTAATTCAAACCCAGACAAAGATGGGTGAAGCATTGAAATAATACTATAATGCATATAAAAAATTAAGAATCGAATCGAATTAATCGAATCGCATCGAATTTGGATGTGAATCGCATCGAATCGAATCGTTCTGAATTTGCACAAATCGTTCATGAATCGAATCGAAAACCTATGAATCGTGAATCGAATCGATTCGCTGTCTACCCAAAGATTCACAGCCCTAGTATTTAAACACCTGAAAAATGTAATTATAAGCCACATAAATAATGTATTAACTCACATTTGACAAAGTGATCACTGCACACACACACAGGCATTTTCCCATTCGGCTCCTCCCGACCGCAGACGTAGGTTTGCAAGGCATTTTTCTTTCAATTTCTTGTATTTCCCCCCTTATGAACAACAACTTTGGGCACACGATAAAAACTCCTCGTGGTTTGATCGACTTGAGCAACTATAAACGACGCAAAACATAGGCATTTTGAGTGTGTTATAGTGCTTCCTAAATATAGAAAATCATTGCCTGCCCTCCATCTGCTGCTCGCGCCATGGCAACGCAGTGGCGTGACGTCATGTGAAAACAAGCAATAGTTTGAATAACAACAGTCATGGACATGGACAATGCCTGTTCCTATAGACTGTTGTTCTTTGTACTATGTGTAATATAATACAGCAGCTTTATCTTTATTGTACACAAAATCTTTGTATGTATTTTTAAATGTCAACTGGAACAGATGATACTCCTGTTAGGTACCTCCAATGCTTCAAGCCCAAAGATGTGGATCTTTGTTCTATTGTTTTTAGGTTATTTGTACCAACCCTGTTTTCTCTTTTTTTGTTTTTGTTTGTTTAATTAAAAGATTAGTCCAACCAAAGAGTTTTGGCCCTTGATTTCCATTGTATGGTCAATAATATAACCGAAACTGTTTGGTTACTATCATTCTTCAAAATATCTTCTTTTGTGCTCTGCAGAAGAAAGTCTGCCACAGAGATTTGGAATGACAATGAGTAATTTTTGGGTTAACCATAGGGATGCAATGATACCGCTTTTTCAAAACCGATCCGATACCAAAATTCTGAGTATCGGCCGATACCAGTGCAGTTTTTTTTTTTAATCAACTAGAATTTCCAGAACTCCAGAATTTCCAGTGTGTTGAACTGATAATCACTCTTTTATGTGTTAAACACGATCTACTTAATGCAGACAACTTCATTATAAAGAAAAACAACAAATAATAATAATAATAAAAAATAATGATAATTCAGCAGTAAAACTTAGTCTAAAAAATCAAGAGTGCACAATTGTATAAAATCTGATTTAGTGAAAAAAAAAAAACGTTTAGTGAGGGAACAAATACAGTGAGGAAATTAAGTATTTGAACTCTGTTAGTACCCTGCTATTTTGCAAGTTCTCCCACTTAGAAATCATGGAGGGGTCTGAAATTGTAATCGTAGGTGCACTGGCATTTTATTCAATTAATAAAGATTAATAAGATAATAACCCTGAGCCATCCTAGTTCCCATACACTGATGATTTGATTCGGATTCCTCAGACTTACTTCCTCTGTATGAGAAGAGCGATCTCAGTCTGCACCTTCAGGTACTCCTGTGCCATCTTACAGTGCTGCTCAAACACTGCCATTGATTCTTTGGAGTTTGGACAGGGGGCCAGAGGCTGCAAACAAACAGATTCATTCATCAAATGTCACCTTTTGGCTAATTAATCTGAAATGCAAAAGTGATATTTATACCAGTCGTGGTCTGAACACCAAAAATATAAAAATGTCTTGCTCTCAATTTGCAGCCATGTATTTATAACTAAATAAAACCCTATAAACGGCATAGAAAGGCTGGTAAAACTGTAACCGACTTGATTTAATAAGAGGGCTGTTTTTAATACCACAGCACCCTGGAAACAAAACCATCCACACCACAGATTTAGACTAAACAGTTACCATGCACGTGCAGTCATACATCATTGTATTCAATCATTTCACATTTTCAGCTCATTTTTGGTGGACAAAGTCATACCAACATATTCATATTGTATTGGTGTGTACCTGTAACTGATGGTCCAGGGTCAGGTAGGCCATGGGGATGGAGTTATCTGAGCCATTGGTGTCTACAAGAATGAGGAAAACCGTTTTAATAAACATCCAAAAAAAAAAAAAATGAATGGAGGGCTATTCCATCTCTATTTATTCACTGGTTATTTATATTATTTTGATATGAAGAGTGAAGAAGCCCCTCTATGCAGAACAGCAAGTGTTTTTTTTAGTTTGTAGAGTAATGCTGTTATAGTAAACTGTGGTAATCGGCAGAAAGAGAGTGAGAGTAGAGCAATAAATAGCCCAGTCTCATCTCAGTCCAGAGCACTGCCACGGCCAGACAGAAAAGCGTCCTAAATCATTGATGCCGCTTACGTAATGTCTGCAGCTCAGCCTGAGCTGTTAACTGTCACTAATATAGATTTACAAACACACGGAGGACGTGAACTTTGAGGTCACACTAAGGGGAACATCAACAGTGTTCAGAAATATCTTCACAAAAATATCACAATCTGCAGTGATGTACAGGAGGGCTCATAAAAAATTAATCAACTATTATCCCAGCTTATTGGGTTATTGTACATTTAGGGTGTACTCACACTAGGCACAGTTGCCTGGCACGATTGTCCCCACTGCCCCTGCACTTAAAGTTCTGGGCCGGAGCACGCTTGCATCATTTACGATGCAACCTCTTGTTTTGAAGAAAACAAAGAAAAGCTCTTTCCCTAATAGATTTATAATTTATGGCGTGCAGCAATTTTTACTCGATTGTGCTTACAGCTTACAGCTTTACTCGCAAACTACAATTCCTGTTCAAAAATAAGGTGAGAACCAAACCCATTATAAACCTAAAAATACTCAATTTAATTTCATTAATTGAAAAGTGTACTGTCCAAATAGAAGGTGTTTGCGGACGTAATGATGACTGCAGCACACACAAGAGTAGCTGTTCCGTGCTCCGGCGCGGTTAGCGATCACACTACATGTGTAACAGGGCTTGAGCCCAACTGAACCATGTCCACCTTGTCAGAGCCCAACTCTTCCAAGCGCACCAGGGACGGTGCAGCAAACCGCATCTGC